CTCGACTTGCGATCAGAGTCACGGAACGGATTAAGTTCATAAGTAGAGGTACCACTGTAGTATACTCCTGATCCTTAAAATAGGAACACCAGGATGAAACCGTCAGAGCTCCAGCAAGAAAACACCTGGGGGGGGGATTGTATCTTCAAAAGCAGCAGGGAGGGGTGGCCGCCCTCAGCTCCACTGCATTCCAGCCAGAGGATTGCAGGTGATCGTGCCTTGCTCGCCCTCTGGGGTCTGCAGGCTTTCTGAGAAAAAGGATCATGCTCCTTGGTTCTTCCATCCCTTTTCACTTTTGTGGCCAGATGGCTGTTCTTCACACCCACTCTTTCAAGAACGCACGGGCCTCTCGCCAGGCACGCCAATAGAGCGCATTGTCTAAGGGCATTCCCACATTCCCTCTCTCGGGACTCTGAACGCTGGTGGGCGTGCAGATTGGCTAAAAATCAGGAATCAGACCCACAAACAAGGCTCCCTCTTCTGTTGCCCCAGAGCGCTTCCCAAATACGTGGGGAAGGGGAGGCCCTACCGCTACGCCCAGTGAAGGGAGGGAAGGGAAAGGTTACCTCAGTTGCACAAAAGCGTAACTGGAACACTTGTTTTGCGTTGCGGCTCTGGGCAAGAGAGCAAAACCAAGTCACAACCAGCAAGGGAGGAGGATTTCCTCTCACCTACCAAGTGGACACCAACAAGTGACATGCCACAGACATGGGTGGGCTTCCGTGTCCCAAATCCAAGTGCACCTGGATAGATAGCCTCAAACCCGAAGAAGTCTCCTAGCTCCTTTTCAGACTTACCCATTTTATTAAAAAAAAATTGTCTGCTACAGCTGACTTTGTCAGGTGCATGGAGTAGCTATACTGATGTAGGATTTAAATTGTCAATTGTGCTGGTAAACTTGATTTTAGCCGGCATTCCCTGGGAATGGATTTGTCTGTCGACCTGGTTGGATGGCTCGTTCAGTCTCCCAAAGGCCTGGTTTAATGTCATCGGTTGAGCCATTCTGTAAAGTGGGTCATAGTTTCCCTCCCTCCTTTAGTCAGCTCTGATGTTCCCACAGAGCCTCTGAGGAGATCTGTAACTGTTGTCAAATTCTGGCAAGAACCTGTATCTGCACTGGCTATTTGTTTTTTTTTAATGGGCAAAACAGCACGAAAGCGTTCACCTTTTACTGTCCAAGGTACACGTCTATGTCCCCTTTTTATGCTGCCACAGCTTATAAGTACAGGACTGTGAGCACGCCTGGATGATCGTGGAGAAAGCTGGGTGAGCTGTTGATGGCCCAGCGAGGTGCTGCCAGATGAAATGGGAACCCCAGCTTTCTTGCAAGGGTTCAGAGAGGTGCTTGGTAAGGAGAAGAGCAGCGAGCCTCGGGATGTCTTATCTGCAGCCAATCTAACAGGACAGGAGTTTTAGGAATCAGAGCCCACTTCTTCAGATCGACTGTTTTCGTCAGCGGGCAGGAAGAGATACACAGGAGGGCAAGGCGTGGGGTGCTTTGGACAGAGCAGTCTCCTTTCTGACACAATAATGAACTTGCCATTTTTAGAGGGTTAAGGCTTGAACCCTATCTTTATTAGTGCTACTGGTTTGGTTTTGCTGCAACAGACTGACATGACTCTCTCTCTGGAGAAAGCTTTGAAAAAAATTAGCCATGCTTATAACACTAGGAGTGTTTTCACTGGGAATGAATGAAAACATGACTGCATTTGGACTGCATCTTAAATGCATTAATCTTGCTGCAAAAGAAAGCAAGAACACCCCTGAGAGGTGTGGCTACGCCCCCCTCTGTTTGGCAGCCTTCCCTCCTTCGTTCATAGCCGGTTGCTTCCCTTTCAGAACACCCCCTGGTAGATGCAACTGGGGCAGGGCTTATCTTATCGGGGGCTCTATGCAAAAACTAATTCAAGGGCTTTGCCTCACCTATAACTTCTGAAGCCACCTCTGCTGGACCCCAAGACAACGGGGGAACGGTTAGACTCTGGCTTGCAGAAGGGACATCGCCCAATATCGTGGATGTGAGCGGCAGAGAAGCAGCAGCAGCAGGCTGAAAACCGTGGCCCTCATTGCCCCACCAGGCCTCACGCCTTCTGAGGCCACCCAGCGCTCTCAGGGGCTCAGTTCTTTGGCTCAAAGCCTCCAGCAGCAGCTCACCTTTCACCTGCACCCCCATTTTCCTAGGCAGTGGGAGGCCCTCGTTTTCAGAACAGCCTGAGGGGGACACACCTCTCCCAGCATTGGCTCAGCACAGAAATGTTACTTCTTAGGGACTCCGCTAACAGCTGCAACCTTGCAGAGCTAAGAATTCCCCCAAAGATAGGCGCAACTGGTGGAGATGCACAATTTGGCCAGAATGCAGAATGGAGAAAATGGAGTTGACCTTTGCTCTGATCAGAGATTCAAGATGGCCACACTTTGGATTCACTGTTTAACATACACACATATACAGTATGTTCTAGCCAAGTTACTGTCCCCAGAGATTCACCCCAGGGCCATCTGCTTCCTCCAAAGTCAAAATGAGCCTTATCTCCTGTTTCCAGGTGAGGCACCTGCACAATCTCCCAGCCTATCTTCCTTCTGCCCCACAGATCTTTCCCACTGCCAACTCTAACTATCCCAGGGGAATCAACAGGAGTAAAGACCGCCAAGGTAGGAGAAGAGATGGAAGAGATATGACAGAGGTCTCTTGTTGACTCGGCACTGACAGCAGTGTGACAGTCACAGAGACGGGCTGATTCTGCTCAGTTCCCCCCACCCATTTGGCCCACCTGCCAGCACAATGCGCCTTGGCAAGAAAGTCCCACATAACACACGTCTTTGCCAGGTGACTGTGCAACATCTCCAGCAATTCTGACTCTCTCCCTGATCCTGCTCAGAGCTGAGGGGCTGCTGGGCAGGCAAAGGACCCCAGCACTGCCTCTCTACAGCTATGAGGGCAGGGTGAGAGGAAAGGGAGCAGGAAGCGCTCTCCACGAGCACCCAGTCCCACGCTGCACTGATAAGGAGGCCGCAGCTTAACCAGATGGGTTAAGGCTAAACAGAAGAGTGTCCCCCACAAGGACCCTCTGTCCCCTTTGGGTTGACCTCCAGCTCAGGAACCTCCCATTGCTCCCTCTGTAAACAGCAGCCAGTTCTAGTCCGGCGCCTTTCAGCAGCACGAAGAGCCTGGCCTGGCACTGGGGTGCAGATCGACCGTGCGGCTCAACGTGCAGTGCTCCAGCTGCTCCTCTGAAGCCAGCGCCTGCCTCACGGCCTCCTCAAAAGCCACCGCCACATTTGTGTCATCCTTGGCACTGGTCTCCAGGTAAGGGTAGTTGCCCTGCTCCAGGCACCATGCCTGGGCCTCCTCCACAGCCACCTGCCTCTCAGCCTTGTCGACCTTGTTGCCCAGCACCACGAAGGGGAAGCGCTCTGGATCCCTGATGTTGGCGTAGCAGGCAAACTCCTTCTGCCAGTGGCCCAGGTTCTCGAAGCTCTGGCGGTCGTCAACGCTGAAGGTCAGGAGGCAGCAATCTGCGCCGCGGTAGAAGGGTGTCCGCAGGCTCTTGAAGCGCTCCTGTCCCGCCGTGTCCCAAATCTGGAGGGTCACGAAGCGCCCGTCCACTTCCAGGTCCTGGTTGAGGAACTCCACACCAATGGTGTGGAAGGCCTGGGAGTCAAACTTGTGGGTGACGTAGCGGTTCATGAGGGAGCTCTTCCCAACGCCCCCGTCGCCCAGGAGGATGACTTTCAGCAGCAGAGACTTCCCACTCATGGCGGCAGCAGCAGCAAGCTTTAAAACCAGCAGAGCACAGGGGTTAGCAGGCAATGCCCCCCCAGCTCCCTGGCAGGCGGTAGGCAGGACACCCCCGGCTCAGAAACCCACCTCTCTGGGGACTGAGCTTTGAGCCGGGCTGGAAGAAGAGA